CACGAAAGTGACTTAAACTGCAATTCATCGACTGGCCGCTAGAGACTGGCTCCAAAAGGGAGTCAATCCCATAGAGCCCCCATGTTAAAATGCCCAACATTACAGCAGAAAAAAAATATGTTTACAGCCTGGTACAAAAAGTGGTTTTGGTCTATATAGCTAATTTTGCCCGTCATGACAACTGTGAGGGGGGTGCATTTTTTTTATAACTCATCCGTTTAAATTATATTAAATTAAATTACATTACGCCTTAAAGTTCTGCATAATTAAGGGTGTGGCCACTTGAGTGACAGGTGGATTGCTGCTGCTGTCGCCACCGTCGAGCTATAGGCGGGCGTGGTTTCAGCAACCAGCTCCACCCTCGTCCCACCTCTTTGGCCATTTTCGAATATCCAGGAGTGGCACGCTGCCAAGATGGTGACGGCCGGCTCCGCCCACTTTAGGCTTTAAAAATGCTCTTCTGAAACCTATGGGTGACGTCACGGACACTACATCCATGTTTTTATAAAGTCTATGAATATGACTTCCATATGAGCTAGTGATGGGAAAAACGAACATTTTTGAAGCTTTGAATCAATTGAACCAATTGCTTCGCGAAATGATTCACTGTTTCGAAGAGCTTGAAACACTAGAGCCCTGCACAGGGCCTCAAATCTAGGCCTTAGCCCGGTCCTTGTCCGACTGGAGCCCTTGTCTTCTCTCTCTCTCTCTCTCTCTCTCTCTCTTGCCCATTGCACAGTTGCTGTTGCAGCCATTAAAATAGTTCCGTTTTGTTTTTAATGGCAAAGTGGTTATATTTCTTTTCGTTTCTTTATTAAGTTAATTAAGAATGTTTTGAAACAGTTATGACATAACGAAACCTCGTTTACTGAAATCACATGACTTTGGCAGTTTGATGTTTCGAAACAAATGATTCACAAAGGTTTTAAAGCTTCACGAAGCAGTGTTTTAAAGGCCCTGTCCTAAATCGCAGCCTAAACCCTCGCGGTCTTCCTCTGAGTCCACACTTTCGTGACGTAATGCCGCTTTGACTGTCAGGTAGAAGTCTGCTACGGAGCTCGCCTCAGTGTGGGCTCGGCAGAAGTGCGCATCGAGGGCGCATAGTGGCCGCAAAGGGGGCGAGCACAATGAACACAAATAAACCGCAGCAGACATGACTGAATACGAATGAGTGTTGTTATTCTATAACAAAATATCATAAATTATCGATTGATTATTTTGCACTCCTGATATAAAGAAATGACTGTCACTGCAACTGAGTTTTATCATAACAGTGTTCAAATATCGAAGCTAGAGTCTAATCTTTCTAATGATACACAGTTTGTTCAGATCAAGTAAGAGTGTGGTGTTTTAACGTGCTGTGAATGTGAAACGACAATAATCTGAGGCCGCCGGCGATCTTTGCAGGTTAAGTTAACAGTTAACTCTCAATTCATGACGCTGTCTACATTGCTTAGGCACTATGCCGGTTTTTTTTAAATACATACCAGTTGCGTAATTCAAACCGGTTTACCGTTTGAACCGGTATATCGCCCAGCACTAGTATGAAACCCAACACGCTCTGATAGCCTCATGTCAGTGCGCTGCTCTAGGCTGGGACATTCAGAGACAGGCCTGTCTGTGTGGGACGAGACAGCCTAGAGCTACTGAGACAACAACAACATGTCATAGGACTGAATTCAGTTAGAGAAGGGGCTTCCTGTCATAACATGCTTCTACACTGATCAAGGAAGGATAGAAGGAGACACAGAAAGACAGAAAATGTTACTCCATTATATCAGGGCTCGGCAGTGCGAGCGTTTCGCTAAAAACAGATGTGTGTGAACTGTAAAATGTATGTAAAAAGTCATAAATTCTTAAATTGCATAACAAACATCTTAATTCTAAGATAAAAAAAACAGCATTCACGAAACAGCCTAATGTAAAAGGCTCCGATTTCATTAAATAAATGTGTGCGCTGCACATTCAAAGTAGAAACGTGGTGCTGTTGCTTTCTACAGGCTGTTCGCAATCAATGAATATCACACATTTATGCACAGTGATTGCTTATGATTTACGACAATGTTTACTTTATGGTGTTTATATGGTAATAATCTTGTAGATGGTTGTAAGATCTCATATTTGAATAATAAAGCATATGAATTTCAAAATAAGAGTCTCTGTGCATTTCGGGCTTGTTCATAATTAAAAGTCCTCAGCACAATGATCTGTAATCTGTCTATTACAGTTAAACAGATAAATATTTACATACATTTTAAATACAGTTTTAAGCAGAAATATATATTTTAAAAAAAATAAGTGTGTTTTTTGTATTGTAATAAACACACTCGCATGGTCATGTGCAATGGCTGCATAAATGTAATTATGTCAACTATGGGACTATGCAATTTTTGATTTCGTATTGGCTTAGATATGGCGTTTCTGTGACTGTAATTTCTTCCTGTACCCTTTGGCCCTGTGGACCGTCCCCTTCATCCTGGGCTCCGTCCTCCTGCTGCTCATAGTTCGGACCCCCGAGGAGCCTGATACGCTTCTCACACCGCTTCTTTGCCACTGTGAGCTGGTTAATGTAACGCTTCATGTTTCTGGC